CCCCCGCAGCCCAGCGCCAGTCTTGGGGGCATGGCTGGGAAAAGAGGGCGTGGCTGCAACCTGGCTATTCCCAGCTGCCAAAATGGCCCCTTGCGGCCATAAATTAAAGCAGCCTTGCGACCCCTCTAATTGACACCGGGCGTTGGACAGACGCCCCAGCCACCCGTGTGTCCCTGAGCGTATCTCAGCCTGGGGCCCCTCTGTCCATTCCTCGCTCCCTGGGGCTTGCAGACAAAGGAGCCAAAGGGCCCTACCAGGCTCAGGGGAAGGAGCTGCAGCTCCTGGGGGTAGAATGTCCCACGTCAGGCTGCCGTCAAGGGGTGCGCTTGTCTGAACGCCAGGCCTGGGTGTTGGCCCTGCCACCAGCCCCGCTGACCCGCTGCAATGCAGGGAGGGAGGGTTTGAAGTCTTGCCCTTTGTTTTCTTCATGCAGAGGAGTTACTCCAGCTCGACGCCGTCAGGAGTGTGTGTGGGGGGTTTGGCCCCCTGAGTTCCTTCACCATTGCGTACCCACTGTCTGTGCAAACACAGCACCCGGGCACCTGCCCCTCCTCTGCCGGGGCTAGGTCCTGCTGCGCCTGAAATCACGGGGAGACTCCCACTGGCTTCAATGGGAGAAGGACGGATCCGTGGGCCGTTAGCAGCAGCTCTAAGGGAGCCTGGAGATCGCGGCTAACTGCTGGACTCCTTCAGCTGCGTCCTGATGGTGGGCACCTGGCCTCTCTAGAGAGCCGGACAGCGGTTGAGAAAAGGGCCCGGGAAGATGCTGTAGAGATGGGAAAGTGCTCAGGCCTCCCTGAGAATAGGGAGGGGGCGTCCGGTGCGGAGGAGCTCGGCGGGAGACCTGGGAGGGGATGGTGAATGGAGACTTCAGCTAGGGCTCGAGGGAACTGGGAGCACGCAAAGGCACCCTGTTCCTTATTGCTCCAGCCTGGAGCTGTGCTGCTGACAGCTTGCAGAGACGCTGCCCACGCCTAGGCTGCGGCAGAGCTCAGCCCTCCGGCGACTGCCGGCAAAGCCTCTCCTCAGCCCTCCAGCTAGACTAAAACCCTCTTCTCTGGCCAGGCTAAGGACAGTTCCGAGCCAAACCTCCCTTGGCCCCCAGTCCTCCCATGCAGCCACCGCTCAGCAGCCCTCCTCTGTCTGCCTCCATGGAGAGGCCCCACACAGCCCTTAGCGCCCTCCAGCTCTTTCCTGTTTTTGAGTGAAGACTGATTTTTATACTCCCTGCAACCTTCCCAGCATGCCTTGCAGCCCAGCCTCTAAGTCCCCTGCTCCCTGAGAACTACAAGTCCCAGAATTCATAGAAGCTGAAGGCCAGAAGAGACCATGATGCTCATCTCATGTGACCTCTTGCACCAGGCAGGCTGGAGACCCCACCCGGTGACTTCTGCATCCAGCTCCTATATCTTACCTGGGGTGGGTTCTCCGTTGGTCTGCTCCCTCCACCTTCATTCCAGCCTGCCCTGCAATGAGAGATCCCCTCCCCCAGGAGGTACATGTCAGCCGGAGTCTCCTCTCAGCCTTCTCTTGGATGCTCTAAATGGAGACCTGTCCTCGCTTACAGACAACCCCCCAACCTAAAGCAAATACTCACCAGCAACCACACATCACTGAACAAAACCACTAACCCAGGAACCTTTCCTTGTAACAAACCCCGATGCCAACTCTGTCCACATATCTATTCCAGTGACATCATCATAGGACCTAATCACATCAGCCATACCATCAGGGGCTCATTCACCTGCACATCTACCAATGTGATATATGCCATCATGTGCCAGCAATGCCCCTCTGCCATGTACATTGGCCAAACCGGACAGTCTCTATGAC